TGATTCCGCTTTTCATTCATTCACTTGCTGTTGTTTTTTAGATTCTACTTATGAGTGGTACCATGTTGTCTTTTTCTTTGTTCACTTAGCATAATACCCTCTAACACCATCCATGTTGTCTCAAATGGTACAATCTCATCCTTTTTTACGGCTGCATAATGTTCCATTGTGAGCACACGCGTGCGTGTGCGTGTGCATGTATGTGACATTTTCCTTATCCATTCATCTATGGATGGACCCTTAGGTTGCTTCCATAGCTTGGCTATCGTAAATAATGCTGCAATAAAATAGGGGAGCATACATCTTCTTGAATTAGTGTTTCCTTTTCTTTGGATAAATAACCAATAGTGGAATTACTGGATCATATGGTAGGTGGAGGACCAAGGACTGAGCTCTGGGGTGCTCCAACAGAGGAGGGGGGACCAGTAAAAGACATTAGGGAGTGACCACGAGGAAGGAGAAAAACAGAGACGGCAGCATCCTAGAAGCCAATGGAAGAAAGTTGAACAAGAGGGAGTGATAAACTGTGCCAAAGCAGCAAGATCCAGTGTGAAAAGACTGAGAACCAGCCACCTGAATTTAGCAAGATGGAAGCCACAGCTGACCCCGAGAAGAAGGCTGCTAGGGGTGGAACGATGGGTGAAAGTCTGTTTAGAGCAGTTTAAAGAGAAAGGAATGAGAGCAATTCATGGACTGAGTGTAGATTACCCTTTGAAGATGGCTTCCTGCACAAGACAGCAGAGAAGAAAGAGGTATCTGGCAGAGGTGGGTGTCAAAGGAAAGTTTTGTTCTTGTCTGTTTGAAGATGGGGAAGATCCAAGAGAGAAGAACAGATGCTGCCAAAGAGACAGGGGTGGAGAGCCAGAGGGAGGTCCTGGATGTGTTCTTGTACCCATGAGAAGGGACTGGCTTCGGCCAGGAGCATGGATGGTCTGCCTGTAGCAGCCAAGAAGGCAGAGTGTGTGGGTGCAGATGCTAGGCGGTGGGTGGAGGCAGTGGAAGGAGGCTGTGGAAATTCTGTTCAGCGGGCTTCAACTTTCTCAGTGAAGGAGGGAGCATCAGCTTGGAGGGAGGGAGGTTTGCCATAGGGAGAACGGCCTTGAAGACTGGAGGGAAATGGCCCCAAGCCAGGCAATGCCAGAAGCTCTAGAAGCAGGAAGAAGCAAGGAGTGGGTTCTCCCCCAGAGCCTCCAGAGGGAGCGCAGCCCTGCCCACACCTTGACTTCAGCCCACTGAGTTTGGACTTCCGGCCTCTAGAACTGTGAGAGCATAAACTTCTCTGTTAAGCCACTAAATTTTCGGTAATTTGTTACAACAGCCACAGGAAGCTAATTCAGGACTAAAGGAGAACTGATGACCAGAAGATCGTCTGCTCTGCTCACTACCATGGACCTAGCACCCAGCCCAACACCTGATCAATACGTGCAGAATGATCGCGCAGGCAGCCAGGCCCAGTGCCCACCACACCACTGTGCCTACACTAGTCTGCTCCCAGCCCAGAAGGGGTGAGGAGCCCCTGGGTCTACATGCTTTAGCTATGGCTCCCCAAAGACGTTCCAAGAGAGAGATATGGTCTGTTGGTCTCTAGTCCCTGAATCAACGACCCAGAGAGACTCAACTTGACCAAGTACCCACCAGGTTCAATCAACAGAGAAATGAAACCACATTGTACAAAAGACTGTGATCTTGTGCATGGGGGCAGGGGGCAGTTTCTTTCCATGGAAAGCAACGTCAGACAGCCCAGTGTCCTCTACAAAGAGCGCCACTTCTGAGATCTGTACCACAGCTTAGCTTCAGTCCTCAGTCTTTTTAGGGGGTGCACACTATTATCCGGTCCTCAGGCAGTGCAGCTGTAGACTGAAACAGGGAACTTGCTCTAAGGCACGTAAAGGTCGGTGACAGAACTCGAACCCAGGGCTGACAGACATCAAGAGGCTGCGTCTCTAATCACCACGCTCACTTGCCCTCATCCTCTGGCTCCAGGTAGGAAGGAGACCCTCCTCATGGCCACCAGTAGTCTCCTCTCTACTTTAGGTTTGCTCTGTAAGGTGCTCCGGGCCAGACACGGACAACTTACAACATTCTCAGCAACAGTTTAGGAATATCTGAATAAGAGGAAATAGGCCAAGTGTTCTTCTTTTCTTTATTAATGAGCTGAGATACACAAAGACTTAATAAAAAGTTACATAAAAGGCTCAAGCATCATCGAGACCCTCAGGCATCACTCCCGTTTCACAATAATGGCCATCTGTTAATACTGGGTAGCGGAAGCTGTGCACTCACGGGCGCTCAACAATTCAAGTAGCTTTTGTTCTATGTAAACCCAACATGGAATTTCTAACCCAATGGGCTGCTTAATGGAGGGAATCTGTCTGTGGTTCCAGATTTACCGTCACACGTCTCAGGGGCCTTTGGGTCAGAGCTGCCATGTGTTAGTGGGTCACGTCTCCTGGGAAAGTGAGATTGGCCACACTAGGCCACCAGGCAGTCTCCACAGCAAACAACACAAGGTGGGGTCAAAGTCCTAAGAGAAACCATCCAAGTGACCGCCTGTGTGGCGAAGTACAGGAGGTCAGCGGCCAGAGCTCCCAGCTGGAGGGGTGGGGAAGATGGCTAAGGTTACCTGTTGGGGAGAAAAGTCGCCCTCTAATTGGGGGGTGTCGTCAAAATTTTAGGAGACAATTTGAGAGCACACAGTGGCAAAGGCATGGGGTGAGGGGATTTCAGGAAGGCTGTGTTCCACGGGATGTGAAGGTAGCACTATTCAGGTGGTCTGGAAAACCAGTGGAAACACCAAAATGTCACCAAAGACACAAGTCCCATTGGACTCCTCAGTCATGGAGTAGTATGGCCAACTGGTGTTCCAGCTGACCGTGCCACGTGACCATGGAGAAGCTACTGTACTGGGATGCCCCAGGGTCCACTCCATTCTGGCCTATTGGGAAGCCCCCACAGCTACAAGGGCCCACAGTTCCCTAAAACACGAAGAACTGTCTTGGAAAAGTGTTATCCATCTGTCTCACCTCTGGGGAACACAAGGTCATGGAAGATGAAGCCTGACCCCTGACTCAGCAGCAGCCAGCCTTTCCTTAACAAGTTTGTCCCTCGAGCACTGTGGAGCTGAGCTGCGGGCTGACTGCAGGACATGTGCCCTGGAAGATGCGGCCGGGGTGGGCAGAAGCACCGCCCGTGTTGGGGGAGGGGCCAGAAGCAGATGGAACCCGTGTGTCTGGTTACCTTCATGGCTAAGGGCTTCATTCTAGGTCAGCTGATCTGCCTCCAACAGGACTGCCCACTTGGGGCTGCCACGGAGTCGCGGGCTCTGCAGAGGGCAGGGGGGCAAGGGCGTGCTGGTGCTAGTCCATGCCCAGTAGCAGCTTTCCAGCAGTGGCCGCTGCCCTGGGTGCTCAGCTTCCCTTGCCACCCCACCATTCCTTTGCCGTGAAGCCTCTCCCTCTGTACTTCTTCCCGCCTGTCTTGCTGCCACCTCCTCCTCTCCTTTGCACATGGGGCTGCAGCAGACTCCGCTCAGAGGAGCAGAAGGGTCCGAAAGAGCCGTGTCCTGTTAGTGTTTAAAATGCCCATTAACATTATAGGACCTTGGGACACTCTGAAGTGCCTGATCTTTGTTATCTTTCCTTTCAGGGTCAGGGGAAAAAAGGCCATTGAGACAAATAAAGAAGTTTGATTTTCCAATTAACTGAAGTCCCAATGATTTCATTCGACACAGAATTGCTCTTCGGCTGGGCCCCCTGGTGCTGGTGATCTTGCTGAGTTAGGAACGCAGCACGCTTTCAAAACCAGAGAAGATGCCAGGTGTCTCCAGGTCCTGTGGGGTGCTCACTTTCTCGGGGTTTCTGTCTCTAAAGAGTAGCCAGGCCACCTGCTAGGGATGCGCTAGTTTGCCTAGTGATCTGATTTGTCAATGGAAAATGAGGTCACGAGCTCATCTTCTGACCTTCTGTTGGAGGGGTGGGCACTGTGGTCGCTGCTGCCCTCCCTGTGGTCCACCCTCCCTGGCTGGGAAAAGCCAGTCTCTGGATCCCACCAGCAGTACCTGAGAAGGAAGTGACATCTTCAGGAAGTTGGGGGAGTGTCCTCTTATAGAAACAGGTGTATGGGGGCCAGGTCATCACCCCAACCTTTCTTTCTCCTTTAATTATATGTTATGGTTAAGATCCAAGAGGCTAAGAAAAGTGTGTGCCAGAAAGGCAAGCGAATCCTAGGTTTGCAAATGCTTAGCGGGGTCTGCTTACTTACTGGGCTTTAAGGAGTGGTAGTCAGTGGACTCAAAGGGAAAAATGGCTTCAGGTCTTGGTGCTGTCTTAGTAACAACAGTACTGGATGGTTTTTGGTTAAGATTCAGCATGAACTAGAGCGTTCTGGATGGCGTCCACGTTAGCTTACTGGGCCGAGCTGAGATACACATGCCCACGTCCGCGTGTTTGTGTCCAAGAGGCGCGAGGCAGCACAGACGGTGGAAAAGCAGGAAGAAACAGATCCGGGAAAGCCCTCAGAGCACAGAACTCAATCTGCACCGTCGGCCAAGTGAATGGACGCTTTTGCAAAGCCAGTCAGCTGACCTAACTTATGCATGTCCAGGATCATGAAAACCCTTCCGAAAACGGACATGCTCGCCCTAGCCTCTCTGCTCAGCAAAATAAAACTCCGTTTCCTAACACCTGCACCCTCGGGTACAGTAAAACCTTCTGGGTGAGCGCATCTCTCTTCTGTCCGGTCTGGAGGCTGGGAGTGGGCTGTTCCTCCCGCGGCCTCCGGCCACCGTCCTCATTCACGTCTGCGCTCTTGGTCCCTCCACTTGCATGTTGACCTGAGTTTTGGCACTCTGGGAAAACTCAGTTACGAACAACAACAACAGTATTCCAGACGTGTTCTCAGAGAGGTCTGCTGAAGCCCTGAAGCTCCCCCAGTCCGTGGGCACAGACCCCCTTAATAAAATAATAATCACTAAAATAATTTAAAAATCTACAAAAGCCTCCCCCCCGCCCCCAGGCTCAGACGCTCTGGGCTGGGGGCAGGGAGGTGGGGAGTGGATCATGGCTTGTTCAGTACTCTGTCCGTGGACACACACTTCCACATCACACTAATCCTGTGTACTTCAAAGAAACAACAGCCACTGAGAGATGGGGAGGAACCGGGTTGAGTCAACGTGAGGGGCTTGGATGCTGCTTCTGTTTAGCATTGCTTCCCTGTCTCTCTTGAGACGTGGGAAAGCCTGTGCCCTTCTGGCAAAGCCGGAGCCTTGCTCCTCCCTGCCCACCCTCCCTTCCTCCCTTCCTGAGCCAGGTCCTCGGGCTGAGGGTCGTGGTTAGAAATGGTTTTCAGCGCGGTTAGGCAGTGGAGGGCCCCGAGGGCCGGCCAGTTCACGGTCACCATGGCCAGGGCCTCAGGCCCGTCACAATATCACGCACTGCAGTTTGTGGGTGCCGGTAGCCCGGTCGCCCCGCCATTTGGTTTTCTTCTTCTTCTTCTGGCTCTTTTCTGGAATCTGTTGCCTTTTGAGTCAGGGAAAGGCAGAAAAACAAAGTCAGAACGGGCTTTGCTTCTCCCTGCCCCTCTCCTCCCGGGGCCCTGGGTGTGCAGGCGGCAGGCCTGTTCTGGATGCTGGGGGAGGGCCTGGCCTGGCCAGTTGTCTCTGGGGCAGAGAGAGTGGGAAGGCAGGGAGGGCAGGGCAAAGCCTGTCGGCCTGCTGGGGAGAATTCCTGACATCACGCTGTGGCTGTAGTTCTTTAAATCGTGAACTACATTATGTGTTCTTCAGTACTGGCCTCTATTTTTATGTTTCGTATTTTAAATAAAATGACAAGTCCATTGAGTCCAAATGTTTTTTGCATGTTTTCTGTTAACTCTTCCTATGTCTAAAGCCTGCCCTGGAACTACAGGTCCATAGCCAAGATACCACCAGCTCCTGGCAGGACCGCATACCCCAATGGGAGGCAAAATGCCCACAAGAAGACCTTTCCACGAGCGTAGAGCCACCAGCTACGGCGTGAAGTGAGGGCTGCGCTATCACAGTGCACACTGGGGACTGATGAGGAAAGGGTTGTGTGTGTGTGTGTGTGTGTGTGTGTGTGTGTGTGTGTGTGTCCTGGGGCGCCAACAGGCAGCAGGGGGAAAGCACTCTGCCAGGGCCCTGCCTGTGAGTTCACGACTGACCGAGAGCCGTAGAGCTCAGCAGCACACGGCCTCACACTAAGGGCCTGATATTTGAGGACCGCAGGTTAGGCTGTTCCGCACGGTGCAGACTTCGGAAATGGGCAGTTGGGTGACAGGGGAGCAGCCGGGAGGCTGTGGCAGCCCTCTAAGCACAAGGCGGTTAGGGCTGGGACCCTGACTGTAAAGGAATGCAGCGAGACCGCTGACGAGGCTTTCCGACCACACCTGGAGCCTGGCAGGGTGTGCGGTCTGCAAAGCGGGTGCATGTGCAACACCCCAGCAACTTGAGCTGAGGAATCAGAACGGTGGTGGTTCAGGTGAACTGTCACGGGGCGCTCTGACCTTGGGGCAGTGGAGAGGACACGGACCTACTTCCTATGGTGTTGACAGGTGTGGTGTTGGGAGAACACGGAAGGCAGGTGGAGGAAGCCTGAGCTGTGGAGCTGAGAGGAGAGAGGAGGCCGTAAGGAGGCTGAGCTATAGCACCCCAGGCAGGAAGGCACCTCCCTTTAGCTCCGGGCTTCCCCCACAGGTAAGAGGAGTGAGAGGGTATGTGCAAAGGAAGATGGGAAGGGCGCGGAAAAGAAATGGATGGAGGGGTAAGAAATACAAAACAGGCCCAGAACTGCACGGCCCCGGCCTTGGAACAAGAAGCCACGTCCCTCCAGTCCTCCCGGCGACCCACCTTGCTGCAGAGGGCTTGCTTCTGGGGGAGCGTGCAATGCTCACCTAATTACCCTAACCAGGTCATGGAAGGCTTTGTCGACGTTGAGAGGTGGGTCCTTGGCACTGGTTTCTATGTACGGAATCTGGAAGGCAAAGCTCAACTTGGTAAAAGTAGCACTGAGGTCCACAAAGCCCCGTTCTCTAAAACCGCAGATTGTCAGGGGTCCCAAGGAACCACCTGCCTTCAGAGACCCCCACAGAACCCTGGCGCCAACAACCTCAAGCCCCTTGGTGGCGTCTTGCTCCTTAAGGGTGGAAAATTTTGACAGCTTGTCTAATTCCCTTCTTATTCTCTAGTCATAGAGATCTTTAATAGACCCCTAAAAATAGAAAAAAAAAAGATCTTTTTACATACTTGAAGACTAAAGACTGTTCCATTTATCAAACTAAAATAGGTTCTGATGCTATTCTTTTTTCTTTCTGAGGCCTATTTCTCCACTGTGAGGGGACTTCTGCCTCCTCCTGGGCCCTCCAGAGCGGACTCTGGAGGGAGAGGCTGAAGCGAGGCTGGGCCACGGGCAGGACGCTGCACCTCGGTGACCCCTAGCTGGTCTGTGCCTCCTTGCCCCCAACAGGCTTGCCGGGCTCAGCTCTTGTTTGGTCTGCATCTATGAGTCCGGGAGCTCGGCCACGTTCACAGAGGGCTTGTGTCTGCACGCCTGACACTGAGGAATCATCACCCCAGCTGAAAGACAGCAGCTCACCGGCAGATGTGGCTGAAGTGGCCCCCCACAGGACAGGTGTTGAGGGCCATGTCTACCCCAAGTCTCAGGCTGGCACAGGGAGGAGGACAGAGGTTACATGAGGTCAGGATGCACTTCTGAGCACACCTCTCCTCCTGCGTCAGGGACCCTGCACAGACGGGAAGGCTTTGTGCCCACTCCCGCCTGAGTGGAGAGAGTGTGGGATTTGTGCAAAATATACAGGCTTCCCCAGGCCAGAGAGGGAGGCCAACTGTGGTCAGCCTGAAGAACTCAGGTGTATTTCATAACTTCTTCCTGGTTACAAAATTAAGACACTTCATTATAACACTTTCAAAAAAGAAAAGCCCAGTGAAGAAAATAAAAATGACCAGCAGTGCAAATGCATGGGTCGGGGTGGTGGTGACAAGGTGAGCTGTTACTTTAGAGGAGAATGTTGTAAACGACTGCCCAGGACACATCCTAAAGTACCGTCGCACATCGCTGTGGCTACAGGCAGAGGTCTCACAGCCGGCTAGACGCAAAGGGCAGAGCACACGAAGCAAGGCTGAGACTTTTCAAATAGTCATCCAACCAATCTTCGAGCCTCTGATAATACTGAAAGAACACTGCCCTCCACTGTAGGCTGTTTGATTGAGACGACTCTGGGCCCTTCGCCTGCCAGGTCTCAACATCCCTGAGCTCACCTTATTCCCACCTTCACCCACGGAGGTAAGCAAGTATCTCCACTGTGCCTCGGGGGGACACTGTGAGCTCGGAGTGGTGATGTGCTCGCCCAGAGCCACATCACAGCCGGCAGCAAATCAAGGTATGAAGCAGGTGCCTGTTCCATTCCCTGCCTGGCCGCCCATGGACAGCTAGGGGTGCCGAGATCAGCTTCAGGGCCCCTCCCAGGCATGGAGGGCACCCCTGCTAGGGCCTAGAAGCCAGAGTCCTGTGATACCCTGTGAGGCTGGGGCAACGTGCTTCCTTTTACACACCCAGAGCAGGGGCAGGAAGGTGCCTGTAGCTGGGGCTGGGACCCACTGGGACCGCCTTCACAGGCTGTGGCCCTGCCGCTCAGCAGGTGCACAGTTCCGGGGGCCTCAGACCGCCACTGGTGCCGCCCCACCCACCAGGTCCTCGGGCGCCCTCTGCCTTCTTTCTGGGGGTCCTGCCTCTACCACTGAAGAAAAGCTGGGGCGCATTATCTGGGTTCTTGGAAGTCTAAGGTTTCAGTAGCAAGGAGACTTAAACTAAAGGGAATGCTGCACTAAATGGTAGCACCGTCTGACTCCACCACAGGGCTAGGAAATGCCACCTTCCGGCGCCGGGTGGGGCGCCCGCCTTGGCAACTAAAGAGGAACTTGCCTTATGAGCTCTAAAATAGCATGTTGTCGATAGTAGCTTGCAGAGTCGCTTGGTCAAATGGTAAATGAGGTAGTGGCATTTGCTGCAGGAGAAACGTGGCTGGAGAGACTGGAGGCCCAGGTTGCAGCGGCGGGGACCAGGCAGCCTCCGCTCTGGACCCTCCCCCCCGCCCCCCTGCTTGGAAGGGACACGCAGAGGTGTCTGTTAGAGGCCTGAGGGACCCTGAGACTGGGAAATGGAGCTGGCTCCTCAGGCCTGTCTCTGTTCAGAACCCAGCGGTGAGTCTCCAGCTCTCCTCTGGAGACTGTGGGGCAGCGCAGTCCCGGTGGATCACTCCTTCCTCCTTGAGGTATGTTCTTCACTTGGCACCCATGACGCCCCACTCTGGCCCTCATGTGTCACCCACAGCTTAGGCCCTTTTGTGGTTTCCTCCTCACCTCCCCGCATCACTAGGTGAAGTGTCCTGGCCTCAGCCCTGGGACCCCTGCCCTATCTACACCTGCTCCCTTGGCGTTTATGGCTTCAAATGCCATCCACACTCTGTCGCTGCCAATACTTGCCCCAGATGCTGTATCTGACTGCCGCCTTGGCATTTCCATCCGATTATCCACTCAGCTCCTCAACCTCCACAGATCTGCAACCAAGCGCCTGTCTCGCACACGCTTCCTCCGATCGTCTCTCCTGCCCAGTTACCGACACTCTGGTCTTCTGAAAGTTGCTCCCAAACCACAGAATCACCTGCCACACCTTCTTTCTCTCACACCCCACATCCAATCTGTGCACATATCCTGTCGGCTTTCTTAGAAACACACCCAGAATCCAACCACTTCCTTGCCACCTTCACCAGCACCACCCTGGGCCGTGCTGACCTGCATCTGGGTTACCCAGCAGCCCCTACCTGGTTTCCCTGCTCCCACAGCTGGCCTCTATGGGGCCCTTCTCAACATGGCCACCGGAGAGAAGCTGTGCAGCCATAAGCCAGACCTCGTCATCGCTCCTCACTCATAGCCCTCCAGTGGTTTCCCCTCTCCCTCTGAGCAAAAGCCCATAAAGTTTAAAGCCCTTCTCTGACCTGGCCTCCTGCTCCCCACCCCTCCCACTCCGGCTCCAGCTCGCCTCCTTGCCGAGCCTCAAACTCCTGCCTTAGGGCCTTTACACTGATTATTCCCGCAGCCGGAACATTCTTTCCCCAGAGATCGGCAGGGCTTCCTCCTCAGCTCCTGTGAGTCCTTGCTGAAATGCACCCTCCCTATAGCAAGGCTTTCCCTGACCACCCTATTTGGAAAAGCATCCTCCTCCACCTTACATTCCTGACCCCCTTCCCTGATTTACTTTTCTCCATAGCACATGTCACACTGTAATTTGCTTGGTTTATTATCTGTCTCCTGTCATTAGAAATAAGCACCATAAAGCCAGGAGTTTTATTTCCCAGGGCCTAGGGCAGTTACACGAACATGAGAATGGACGCAGAAGGCAGAGACAAGCATAAGCAACTTGCAGGGAGCCCCCTTCCCCTACTCACAGAGCTGGGCCCACCGGGCAGAGGGAAGGGGCAGCCTTGCAGCAGACCTCCCAGCAGGCAGAGTGGACTTCTACATAACTGACCCATGAGGCCGGGGGCCTGGGTTGTGCCTGTGTGGGGGAGGGGTGGGAAGAAGCCCGGTGACCCCACCCAGCACATTCAGAGGGCAAAGGGGCAACACAATGAACTGAGAAAAAAAGAAAACAAAGATGTCCACTGATATTCACTGTGCGGCCTGGGCAAACCTCAGTCTGACCAACTGTAAGATGGGCATCATGGTACCTACCTCAGCATGTGGTGCTAAGGAGCGATCGCTCCCCATAGAACAGGGCTCGGTGAACTGCCGCTGGTCCGATGATTCTGAGCATAATCAGGCAGCTGGCTCAGAGAACTCGATAGAAGCCAGCCCTCTGCACAGCCCAGGGATGAATCTGCTGTGTTGGGGGCCAGGAGGTGGCCTGAACACCAAGCTCGCAGGCCACTGTGAAGGGACCTGGACCCCCCCATCAGAGCTCCTCACGACCGAGAAGAGGGTGCTTTCTCTCGGGTCTGCTGTTTTGTTTCACCACAGAGCCCTCATCACCTACGCCCTGCCAGGCCTCTCTGCGGGATCTAACCCACTACCCAGGAGGCCCGAGGTCCCGCAGGAGTGATGGGCACAGCCTTCTACACAACCCGGACTGCCCAGCACATCTACACACACGTGCACACACCCGCATGCACGCCACCTACATTATGTTTGGTCGCCATTTCTTTTCCTTGCTCCCTGGTGATTTTCCTCAAATGCATCAGATCGACCTTGTTGGCGACAAGGATCATCGGAAAGGACTCTCTGGGGAATAAAGGAATAGCAGCTCATGAAATTGCACTGCCCTCACACCTGCTGAAGGCAACACAGCCACACCTCAGGCATAAGGCAGCCCACGCTGCCTCCCCAGTGGGCCTGAGGCTGACTCCTGAGTCCCTTTTCCTCCGCGTCTCCAGGCAGGGGAAGGGGGCCCCGGGACTGTGTCTTGGTTTGGAGGTTTCGGCTTACTGCAGGGAGAGCAAAGAGGTCCCCCCTTGCCCTGCCCCCGGGGAAACCCCTGGCTCAGCACCATCAGAGAGGGCTCCCGAGAGGCTGCTGGGCAGGGGGCTGGCTTCCTGGATCTGCTGCCTCTCATCTCCCTCCCATGCAGGGCTGCTGCGGGCCATCCGCAGGGGCTGGGAAAGAGCCCCAGGGCCGGTCTCTGGTATACGGGCCGGCACTCAGTAAATGGCGGCTGCAACGGCAGGATGGCTCCCAGGAGAGGAAGGGTGGAATCAAAAGGCACGCGTGCCTTAAAAGAGTCCCATCAATGCATGTGGCCATATTGCTGTCCAAAGGTGAAAGAAATGCCAGTCTTACAGCATCTTTAACATCACTGGGCATTTTCATCTAAAAAATTCATAATTTAACAGGTGAAAAATAATACTTTATTATTTTCCCTTGCACTTGGGTTAGCCAAAAGGTTGAATATTTTCCCTACTTTGGAGTCATTTATGTTTTCTCTTTTGAAATTCCCATAGTCAGGGGCTTAACTTCTATCTATGGCTCTGAGTTTTATGTATATATGTGAGTGTGTATCCCTTTACCTGGTAAAATTATTAACACTTTGCCATTGGAACAGGTGTTAACTGGATTTTTCTGAATTTACTGAGATTTGTTCAAAGCTTGCTGTTTTCTTAATTAATTTGTCCTTTTACTCTCCTATGTGGCCTCTTTAAGAGCCAATTAACTGAAAAGACCAGTTAGGCTTAAAAGAAACTACAAATTATTTAATTACTCCATATCATGCTAAGGAAAAAAAATGAGCCTTTAATTAGGGGCTTGTAAATCTCACAGTCAAATGTGATGTAACCACTTACAATGCATACTGGAGAGGAAATTCATTTTTTCTTTGAACGTGATAAAATTTGGTTAAATTGGGGCCATCCGTGGGGACTGTTTAGGAGAGATGGGAGGGGGCTGACTCAAGGCCCCGGAAGCAGTTTGGCCCTGCGGAAAGAGCTGGGGTAGGAGGCGGAGGGACCAATGTGTGAATTCAGCTCTGCCCCTCTGTGTTTCAGCTTTCACCTGAGACTCTGAGAGACAGACAGACAGACACACAGAGGCCGCTCTGAGCCAGGAGCTAGGACGTCCTGGCCCAGCTGCCCTTACCTGTCCTTGACGCGCAGGATGAGCTGGTGGAAGCGGTCCACATGCTCGAAGCTGGCCTTGTCCGTGACCGAGTAGACGATGAGGAAGCCATCCCCCGTGCGCATATACTGCTCCCGCATGGCGCTGAACTCCTCCTGCCCGGCTGTGTCCAGAACTGGGGTGGGATGAGGCCACTCAGGGGCTGTCACCACCCACGGTGGAGCTCCCAAGGCCTGCAGACCCCCATGCTGCTTCTGCTGTCTCCAGGGTGGCTCCAGCCAAGCTGGCCCCATGAGAGGCTGCACGACTTTCCTGGGCTGAGGTGTAAGGGACCCAGCAGGGCCTCACACCTCCACGTGTGAGGCCCTAACAGACTCCTTTGTGGACCTGCTGATTCCAACCTACTTGCCCCCTGGGACTTAACTGTCTACAGAAAAGCCTCATAAAGCCAGTGATCAGCTCTGCCACAAAATCCCTCTGGGCGCGCCACACCCGGGCTTGGATCCCTGCTGGTCCTTACAAACTGATTCCTAGGGAAGTTACCTGACTCTCTGAGCCCCCTTTCCTCTTATATAAGATAGAAACAATGCTTCTACCTTGCAGCCTCTAGAGAGGAGAGCCCCAGGACATGCACTGGGGAAGCCCTGAAAAGGCTGGTCAGGTAGGGTCCTCAGTCCCTGTGTGGACAGACAGCAGGCAGGCCGCAGGGGAGGAGAGGCCTCTGAGAGCCAGGATCACTTGGCCCTAGGATGGGGCTGTCACAGGGTGGTAGGAAGGGCTGGGGAGAAGGAGGGGGGAACCGTCTCAGCAAAGGCTCTCTTCCCAACACATCCATCCCCCTCTCCCTCCCTCCACCCCGTGGACTCCTGAAGCCCACACTCCTTCAGCTTCCTTCCTGCTGAGATAAAATCCTCCCCCCAGGCTGTTTCAGAGTGGTCACAGCCACTGCTGGGGGATCTCCTTTGAGATGCATGGGCCTGACCCCCTCAGGCCTGCTAAAGCCCCTCAGCATCCTGCAAACCCCTGCTCACCATCCAGCCTTTCCCATTTCCTAGCTCACTCTACTCTCTGACAGACCCATTTTCCTTCTCCCTGGAGGCAGTGGAGCTGATGGCTCTAGATTTTGGAGCCAGATTCTGGGCTGAGTCTGGTTCTTCATTCCTAGAGTATGATCCTGGGCAAGCTCACTTCTCTGTGCCCTTGTTTCCACAATGAGGATCCTAAGGGTTGTTTTAAGTTAAAATACTAACACCCAGGGCACCTGGGTGGCCCTAGTCAGTTAAGCATCTGCCTTCAGCTCAGGTCATGGTCCCAGGATCCTGGGATTGAGTCCCACATCAGGCTCCTTGCTCAGCCGGGAGTCTGCTTCTCCCTTTCCCTCTGCCTGCCACTCTGCTTCCCTCCCCCTGCTTGTGCTCTCTCTCTCTCTGTCAAATAAATAAATAAAATCTTTAAAAACAATACTAAGACCCTTAGAGCAGTGCCTGACACAAAGAAGCCCTATAGGAGGGTCTGGTGAGAGCTTGTTCTCCTTACCTGGGGTGCTCTCTCCACCTCTAGGCCATCCCCCAACCACCCCTCCTCTCCTGCTCCCCTTACCTTGGCCAGCTAACTCTGACTCATTGCATTCTGCTGCCTGAGCTCCCGGGGACTCTCCCTACCCCTGTACAGACCCTTTATGGCACACTGTCCTTCCTGCCCATTTAAGAGGCCCTCAGTTGGACTGTCAGCTCCAGAGGTAGGGGCCTGGTCTGCTTGGAACCTGGCACACCAGCACTCAAATAGTAGCTGAATGAATAAATGAATGTGAAGTCTACCCAATTTTGTTCATTCATTCATTCACTGAAGAAATATGTGAGAGCCTACTATGTGCCAGGCAGTGTTCTAGGCACTATAGATCCAGAGTGAATGAGACAAAATCCTTGCTCTCCTGGGCCTCACAATCTAGTAAGAAGATTGGCGAACAAATGAATGGGTAATATAATTTCTGGTGGAGTACATACTGTGAAGAACAGTATAGCCAGCTGAAGGTTATTGGTGGAAGTTGGTGTCACGTTGGGTAAGGACCAAGGGCAACTAAATAAATCCCACTGGCAAAACAGATGAAAATGTCATAGATTTGGCTGAAGGGATGGGAAGGTGAACAGAACAGCAGAAGACATTCAGGTGATATGTAATTAATGGATTCACAGATTTTGAAGGTGTGTATTGTCCAAAACTAAAACTAGAGATCTAGGATATGTGAAAATATGATCGTTCAGAATTTTAAAAACCCAATTCAATGGGGAGCTGAAAGTCAAAATGAACCCTCTGGAAAGGGAAAATGGTTACTTTACATATTGATTGCCTTAAAAATAATATTATCCATGCTTTCTAAAAGAATTCTTGGAGGAAATACTTCAGCAGAGTGAAAAATAGATCCATGAAAGAAAAAGATGAGTGGTATTATAAACAATGATAAACAAGGAAGACAGCCAAACCTGAGTTAAGTTTAAATAAATGTCATTACACAATAGAACTAAAATCTATGATGATCCATATGCGAGGTTAGGGGCTGGGAAAAAGTAAGTTACTACTAAATTTGTTGCCTCACTTGGGAAGAGGCTAAAACTAATAATTACATCCAGATGTTGATAGAAAAAATAGAATTATACACACACAAACACATGTATGTACATAGAATAACCACTAGAAATAAAACTCAAAAGTTCCTAGTCATCAGAGGGGGAAAAAAAAAGAACAAAGTAAATGGGACCAATCCAACAAAAGGCAAAAACAAACTACACAAAAATCAGAAGGCTAAAAAAGGAGACATGCAAGAAGATGGCAGATGTAAATCTAACCATGACTAACAGCGGTAAAGGCAAACGGGTTAAATCTACCCATTAAGGCAGACACCCAATACAAAATCCATTTGTCTGCTACTACAAAAGACACATATAAAACACAATGACACAGAAAGAATGAAAAGTGAAAGGGTAAAAAAGGATATGTCAGCCACATGCATCCACAAAATAGGATTCAAGGCCAATGCATTGAACAGGACAAACCAATGTATTTATAATGGGAAAAAGTACAAGCACCAAGAAGTGCCAAAGTCATCAATCATAAGCATGTAAGAATGTTGCCTAAAATACACATGGATAAAAACCTGATTTTTAAACACAGTAGGTATAGACAAATCCCATAATCACCATGAGAGAACTTGAACAGGCCTCTCTTAGAGAGCCAGAACAATTGGCCCCCTGAAAAGTAATGATCTAAATAATGCAATTTTAAAACTTAATCTGAGAGGGGTGCTTGGCTGGCTCAGCTGGAAGAGCATGCGACTCTTGATCTCAGGGTTGTGAGTTCGAGCCCCATGTTGGGTGTAGAAATTACTTAAGTAAACTTAAAAAAAAAAAAAACGTAATCTGAGAGAACAAACTTTACATTCAAACAGTAAATAAGCATTTTCAAACGCACATGAAATCGTCACAAAAGTTGGTCACATATTAGGTCATAAATAAACATTTCAACAAATTCCAGAAAGCAAATGTCACATGGGCTATGTTTTGCTTATATGCAATAAGTTCAGAAATTAACAGCAACATGAATATAAAAACTATCCACTTAGAAGTTTAAAAAGCTATACTGCTCTATAATGCTCTAGTTAAAGAGAAAAGCAAAGCAGAAATTACAATTTAGAACTGAACAACAATGAACAATAATAAAACCTCTGGTTTGAGGCCAAAGTGGTACTCAGAGGAAAATTACAGCTTTAAATACACTTCCAAAAACGAGAGAGACTGAAAATTATCTAGGCATTTAAATTAAGGGGCTAGGAAAGGAAAAATAAAACCAAAGAAAGAAGAAATCGTCAATGAAAGTAGAAATTAAGAAAATGAGAGGAAAGAAAAGTAGTAGATATCTAAAAATCAAAAAAGCTGACTTTTGAAAGGACCAATTAAAAAAAAAAAAAGCTTTTAGCAATTCTTACCCGAGACAAAAGAGAAAAAAGACTAATAAGCCTTTGGAACGAGGAAAGGCCTATGACTATGGATCTAGACATATATTTAATTCGGAGAGAAAACTAGATACAGTTTCATAGCAAAAAAGTTTCAATTTTGGATGAAATGTATAATTTAAGAAAATATAAATGAACAAAATTGGCTCAAGAAAATGTATAAAACCTGAACAGGCCAATAATTATCCATGAAATCGAAGAGACAAATCTCCCCCATGAATGGCACAAAGCTCTTTTTATTATCTACCTATAAACTGCTCCAGAGCCTGGAAAATAAAGGAACTTTCCAGCTCATTGTAACAGCCTAAGCATACTCCTAGTAACAAAGCGGACAGGGGTGGCATGTGGTTGTGGGGTTAACGGCCAGGCCCGTCCCACCTTCCGGGGACAGGAGCAGCCTGCGTGTGGGACGCAAAGAGGTGCATTCTGTCATCCATTTGCCAACCCTCTTCTAAACACCTATTCAGTGCCCACCACTCTGCTTGGTACTTGGGGTAGTTAAAGAATAAGCGGCATCTCGCTATCAAGGTACTTAGAGGCTAGCTGGGCTGGTACTTAAAGAAAGATAACACCATAGGACAGAAAGTGATTACATACTATGGGAAAATCTAGGTCAGGCAGGGAGGTCCCTTCAGCTTGGAGGGATAATGCAAGGTTTTCGCCAAGAGGGGATATTGATCCTGCCCTTGAAAGAACAGCATTTGACATCAAAAAGATAGGGTCTGGGGAAGGCCTTCCAGGCAGAGAAACAGCATGAGCAAGGGCCTGGAGGCTGGGAAGAAAAGGGGGTCGGTGTGCTGGCATAAAAGCTCTGTGATGGGGGAGCAGGTGGAAGAGAGGAGACAGAGAGACTAGAGGCTGGGGCTCTTGGATCCTGAACTAAAATCTTTGAACTTAGTGGGTGCTGGGGATCTACCAAAGGTTCAGAGAGGGAAGAGATGTAGTCAGAGGCGGGTGAGTGTGGCAGCCAGAGAGGGAGGAGCCTGGAGGGGGAGGCTGTGAGGAGGTGGAGGAGGGGCCAGGGCAGAGGCAACCGGGGCATCAGTGAAGGCAGGTGCGCCTGAGAGGCAGAGGAAACAGTGAATGGGGAGACACTGAGGACACAGGACACAGGGAATGGGGGCCGAGGGGAGAGAGGAGAGTGGAGGGCGCCGTGGAAATTCTACACC